TTATTAAATTAAACTAAAATTAAATTGGGTAGCTTTGTCCTGGAAACTATTCTGTAATTGGACATGTCCTTCTCACTGTATGTATATAGAACCGTGTCCTATAGCCCCATTCACCCAAAAAAAAATTCGGAAATCGGAACGGATCGGAATTATAAAACTAGTTCCAATTCCATTCCAATATATTACGAAAAAATCGGAAATCGGGAAATCGGAAATCGAAACTTGTAAAATATGTTCCAAATTAGGAAAAAATCGGATCGGAAATCGAAAAAATCGGAATTTCGGATAAAATTTACACCCCTAGGGCCAGATATCCAATCATACTCGAGATGTGTACTTTTTGCTTCATTGGATAGTTTTTGTCTAGATATAGGATAGCCATCAAATTCAGTTTATCCATCCTTTCCTACTCAATACACAAACTAAACATGGAGAGTTCAATTCTTTTCTGCAAATCCATACCCCAAAACCCAAATCACCCCAAACAAGAAAACCTTGTTCAAAATCCCACAAATCCCACCAACTCCACAACACTTTCTTTCAACAAAAAACCCCCAATACTCAATGAACTACATTTAAACCATTTATGCAGAAATGGGCAGCTCAAAGAAGCTGTGACTGCTCTTGATACCATTTGTAAAGATGGGTATAAGGTAACACCCAAGACTTTTATTTCTTTGTTACAGTCTTGTATTGATTTAAATGCAATTGAACAAGGTCGTTTACTTCATAATAGAATTGGATTGGTAGATGAAGTTAATCCCTTTGTTGAGACTAAACTTGTTAGTATGTATGCTAAATGTGGAAGCTTGAAAGAAGCTCGTAGAGTGTTTGAAGAAATGACTGAGAGAAATTTGTTTACTTGGTCTGCTATTATTGGTGGGTACACTAGAGAACAAAGATGGAGAGAAATTATTGAGCTGTTTTATTGGATGATGAATGAATGGATTTCTCCAGACGAGTTTCTTTTGCCCAAGATTTTACAGGCTTGTGCTAATGTAGGAGATATTGTGACTGGGAAAATGATACATGCTTTTGTGGTGAAAAGGGAGTTGAATTCATTTATTCCTGTTGGTAATTCAATTGTGTCGATGTATGCCAAATGTGGGAAATTGAGTTCGGCTAGAAGGTTTTTCGAGAAGATGGATAAGAAGGATAGGGTGACATGGAACTCAATTATATCTGCGTATTGTCAGTCAGGGAAGAGTGCAGAGGCTGCGCAGCTATTTGACTGGATGCAGGGTGAGGGAATTGAACCAGGTTTAATTACTTGGAATATATTGATAGCTGGTTATAACCAATCGGGAAATTGTGATCTCGCAATCGAACTAATGAAGAAGATGGAGAGTCGTGGTATCGATCCTGATGTATTTACTTGGACTTCAATGATTTCTGGTTGCACCCAGAATAAGCGGACAACCCAAGCCTTGGAGCTTTTTAATGAAATGTTGGTGGCAGGAGTGGAACCGAATGGAGTAACCATAGCAAGTGCAGTTTCAGCTTGTGCTTCTTTGAAAGCATTGAAGAAAGGAATGGAGCTGCACTCTGTGGGTATCAAGCTAGGAAGTATGGGAGATGTGCTTTTGGGAAATTCACTGATTGAAATGTACTCCAAAAGTGGTAATCTTGAGGCTGCTCAAAATATTTTTGGCATGATCTTGGAGAAAGATGTCTTCACGTGGAATTCAATGATAAGTGGTTACACCCAAACTGGGTACTTTGGCAAAGCGTATGATCTGTTTACGAGGATGCATGAATCAAATGTCAAGCCGAATGTCATCACTTGGAATGTGATGATCTCTGGGTATATTCAAAAAGGAGATGAGGATCAAGCGATGGATTTCTTTCAGAGGATGGAGATAGATGGAATAATCAAGAGGAATGCTGCATCGTGGAACTCACTTATCTCCGGATTGCTGCAAAATGGACTAAAGAATAAAGCTTTTGCAGTATTTCGTAAAATGCAATCTTGCCCCACTAGACCCAATTCAATCACCCTTTTGAGTATCTTACCCGCATGTTCAAATTTAGTAGCGGCGAAAAAGGTAAAAGAGCTCCATGGTTATACATTCCGCAGAAGATTAGAGCTGGATATCTCTGTTGCTAACACTTTCATGGATGCGTATGCCAAGTCAGGAAACATGCCTTCTGCAAGAGCTATTTTTGAAGATCTTCCTTCAAGAGATGTGATTTCCTGGAACACACTAATTGCTGGTTATGTATTACATGGTTGCCCCTATGTTGCAATGGATCTCTTTGAGCGCATGAGATTGGTAGGACCCAAACCAAACAGGGGAACATTTGCTAGTATTATCTTGGCTTATAGTCTTGCAGGGATGGTGGAACAAGGGAACAATACCTTTTCCAGCATGAATAGTGATTACCAAATTACACCAGGTTCAGACCATTACTCAGCCATGCTAGATCTGTTAGGTCGTTCAGGAAGACTTGGGGAATCAGTGAATTTCATTGAGGAAATGAACATAGAACAAGATTCCGCTGTTTGGGATGCCTTATTTACAGCCAGTAGAGTACATGGTAACATCGGATTGGCTGTCCGTGCAGTTGAACGTCTGTTCGAAATCGAACCAAGAAATACATTAGTTTACAGGCTACTGCTACAGTTATATACTATAAGTGGAAAATCTAAAGATGAATTAAATTTGAAAAGACCTAAGAAGCGGAATGGGGAAGATAGCTCCATTGGTTGCAGCTCAATTGAAATGAAGAACTCAGTGCACACTGTTATTACAGGTGATCGATCTCTGAGAAATTCTGACCATATCTACTCTCAGATAGCTAGTGTTGCAGAAGAAATCAAAATTGTACTCCCTGAATCTCATGAAACACAGCTTAACATTGATGAGGAAGAGAAGGAAGAGATATGTGGAGTCCATAGTGAGAAATTGGCAATCTCTTTTGCACTCATTTCCTCTCCTTATTCATCTCAAAGCATCCGGATTATCAAGAACTGTAGAATGTGTAGGAACTGCCATAAAACTGCCAAGTTCATCTCCCTGAAATATGGACGTGAAATTTATCTGTATGATTCAAAGTGCTTCCACCATTTCAAAAATGGGCGGTGTTCTTGTAATGATTATTGGTGAGACACCAAATAATTAATGACAGGGAAGCATGGTGAGGAGTTTCAGAAATTGCCCAACATTAACTTGCATGCTGTTCAAGAAGAGATTCGGAAGCAGAACAGATCCTCTGTGGTGGGAGTAGAGTGGGATGATACAAGAGAGAATACGAAGACTTGTGACCCTATAATCAGACTCGGTGTTAATGATGCATGGAGACCGATGTAAATGTTAATCAAAACTTATGACCATTAGCTTGGTGTCTGCTTAGGATGGAAGAGAACAAGGTCTTGATAAGATTATAGTTGGTTCAAGTTACAATGGTTTCTCACTTTCTCCTTTAGTATTGGCCTTCCCTGCCGAGGTGTCTGATGTGTTAGCTGGAAAATGACTTATGCTACACTGGCAGTTTGTTAGAAGCGCTGAAGAAGAGAAACAGGCATTTGAAACTTAATGGAGATCTAATAGTTTATCTGTTCATAATCAACATCATTTTGAAGTTGAGTTCTGACAAATGTATTCCTCTTGAGTCGACGATCAATCAAAGATGCTGAAGGCAACAACTATGTAGAAGAAACCAATCAATGGAGGAGATTTAAGGTAACCAGCATTTTCTTTCAAGGCAGTGATACTACCTGCAGGTTCTTACTTATTTTTCATTAGTTTTTTTGTCAGAGGTTTTGCGTTTACCACCATCAGATCTTATAATAGGTTGTATTACATATTTCATAGCTTGTTTACTAACAAAGAAAAAAAAAACGATAGTAAATTTGCCATTGCATGCATAATCATGCAAATAGTTATCTTATATATGTAGTTCGCAAAAGGCTAGAACTCAAAGATTATGAATTACTTTGGCACAGCACAATCAGTAAAAGAAAAAAAATAGTTGAAACTAGTATGAAACTGTCTGCTTTCATTGAAAGTTGAACTCAAGACCTCCCACTGGTGCTCTAACCAACTGAACTATGAAGGTTTTACAGTAAAGCTGTAACAATAGTAAAATAATAGCTTGTATAACTTTTAGGTAATTAATTTTTGAATACGAACTGTATCTGATAAAAATAATCTTGTGGCTTGAGCTACAGATTACAGAAAACAAAAACATGATCCATTTGCCAATCTATGGTACATATATTTTTATTTGGTGAAATCATTGTAATAGTATACTGTTGATAAGTGTTGAATACTCTATGTTGGAGTAGGATAATAGTGTTCAGTCATCAGTGTTGAATTGTTGATTCACTCATTCACATTCACCACCAACAATAATATATA